CGCTGTCATATATCCAAAGCTTACTGTCACAGCTGATGTTTCTCAAAATCAGCGGAATTCAAAGATATTTTAGTTCTTTGGAGGTCATGCGGATACGAGAAATTTGTGGTTATTTCTTGAAGAGTACTTAGCTAGAAGAGCGGAATGTGATCCCGCCATAGCTGTGTAAAAAATTGCACGAAGAAAACTGGCTGTACTGCGGTGAGGGTGTTGGGTTAGATTCCCTTGAATTCGCATCGGGCTCGAGTGGGTTTCGGGTCTTTAAGACAATTCTTATCGTTTGTGTTGATTAAATATGCCTGATATCACATGTGCCGAAATCGTCGATGCAATTATAGAACCAAAACGTTGAAAAATCCGAACGAGATGACAATAGATGTAAGACCAAAAAGAACCGGTACCAATCCTTAGTGGAATTGGTGAATTGTCGTGGTTTTATTCCTCACAATAGAGGTAGCCATGGTCCACGCGAGAGAAGAGTACTTGACGGATACAGAAATTATATCAGTTATGAAGACGGCAGGAGTTAATCAAGTGCCATACTGCTATGACCTAAAGATGAACTCAAATAGCTTTTCCTCAGGGATTCCGCAAGGTCAACCCGACGTAGAAGCTCCCCATCATCGCTCCACCATTCATCTCCCTTCAAATAAACTACCCATGGTGCCACACATTCGCATGAGCTCGTGGCCCTAAACAATGACCTTTCTATCTTCCAACAATGAGTTACTTCGTGGACATAAGGACGATCATTTCGCTGGTGTTGAAGCATCTCGCTACAAAGTGTCAGAGTTGGGTGATACCAGTCACCCCAGCTCTGCGCAGCGTTTTCGTCCATATGTAGTTCCTGTATCCAGAATTCGACTTCCTTAAGCTTTTCGGCATACGGACCTCCTCGTGAAGCATCTAACTTCCCAAGATCTCGGCCTGATGCTACTGTGAGCATCTCCAAGTAAACGGTTCCTAGAGAGAACACGTCTGACCGCCTACCCGATCGTTTTCCTTGTCGGACTTCTGGTGCACAGTACTTTACTGTTCCACTTGGGTCAGTTGATACCGTGAGAGTATCACCTTGGAATAATTTTGAGAGACCAAAATCAGTGTAAAGGATGTTGTCTCCATGGCAAAGGATGTTCTGTGGCTTTATATCTTTGTGAAGTATGTTAAGACTGTGAAGGTATGTCAGTCCACTTGCAAGGCATGGGAGCCAAGGTCGAATATGTGAATCCAGGGGGTTAGTGAGATCCACGCACTCGAGGTACTCTCTCAAGTTTCCTTCAGCAACCGGCGTTAGTATCATGCCAAACTCTCGACTCGCTTCGACTCGACCTTATCCACAGATCCGTATGTACCGTGTCCCAGTCCCTCGATACTCGTGTAAGGAAGCTGACTTCCTTCTGCGTAAACCTCATGGAATAAAGCCGGAGGATGTACAGGTGAGATGTCGTTTTCTATCCAGACATAGTCTATTTCGTCCGATGATGCTATAAATTCTATCTACGCATAGGTAAGCTTTGCCATCTCACAACGGGGTCGCATACACTCACTGAGTCGTCCATGATAATGTATCTTGATCAGAATTCATAGAATTTCTTGTTTTTAGTTGCGTGTAGAGAAGAGAGCTATACAGTACGTATAAAGGTGAGAGGTGAAGCTTTTCGTGTTTTCAGTCGCGATGAGCAGGCTGAGGCTGAGGCTGAGGCTCTGTGCAAAAAGCAAGCGAGTCGATCGGTTTCCCTGATTGAAATTCATCGTGATACAATACGGTACTGGTCCGATTGGAAAGTTTCCGATGATCTACTTGATTTTGACGACTATGTGAAAAATGCAATCCTCCTGTTTCCGGGTTTTGTAAGTAGTCGAACCCTGCCTGATCACAGAGTACAACTGTGAACGTATATGTCACGTGCCTTGATTACTTATCCTATGAAGATACCTTTATGTAGAATAGCCTATTCACTCTCTCGTATATAGCATCGGTGCCACTTTGCACCTCAATACAATCAGTTCTCCTCAATTTACTACTCCCCCATATCAACCAACTCCCTAGTCTGATATTTTTCAATACAACATGCCAAGATATTGAATATTAGACCAGCAATACAGTGCTAACTATCATAAGATGGCATGTCAAATATGCATGCTTCATTTATTGTTCGATTAGCAAAGAGACACTAGATAGAAGCGCAAACCAACAATATAGCGTGAAGCTACGTTCAACCCCTACGCTACCCAGTACACTCACAAAGGTCCCATCATACTGAAAGCAGATAGACACTTGTCGAAACGCCATCGAACACGCCTGTTGCGTACTGAATTTTGCTTCTCAATAAAATCATGTACGTGAATGATAACAACACAAGTACGCAGCGCCAAGGTGGTTCACCGACCTCTCAGCCAGATAGCAAACCCCTCCACCAAATCCCCAGCCTTGCCCGTGAGTAAATGAATAACACACGACCAACATCTCATCATTCCATCGTACTCACTGATATAACAAGAAACACAATGTCAATGTATACAAGGCTCGAACGAAGACAACAAGAGAAGGAAAATCAATATACGGTTCAACAACATCGAGAGGAACAGATGCATCGCTTTATGTACTCACAGACTCCCGCTCGCGCCGCTCTCATAGTTTCTCAGAAACTCCCACATTGCTCTCGTAACGGCAACACCGCCACCTTGCGTCTCGACAGTCCGGCCACGGCCGCGGTCGTTTGGATCGTCGCTTCTCTCTTCCGGCCGATCGTAATTCTGTGTTTCGCGTACGGTGATCTCCTCCGCAGGCTCCAGCTGCCCCTGAACATACGAGGAGATTTCTTCGTCAGCTCGACGGTCTATGAGATCTTCCTTTTCCAAATTCTGGCGCTTTAGCTGGGAATACAAGCTCATGTTGGAAGCTTGAGCATCGCCAGCGCCCCACCAGGTACCAAAGAGGCCCCTTTCGTTCCTCGTGTTGAGTGCTGCCTGTGCATTTTTGACAACCCACGGTGCGTATTCATCGCACGATGCACGGTGCAGAGAGACCGTCAAGCGAGAAGCGGCATGTGTCTTTCCGGGCGTGACGGGTGTGGTAGGAAGCGAAGCGCAGAATTCGGTTAGATGGTGGAAGAAAATGCCTTTGAACGTCTGGCCGTCTTGATTGCAATAGCCAGGAGGATCGCAAAGCTCCGTCAGAATGCCGTGTGCACCGAGTCCAGCCCATGATCCATCGTTCGGGGCCATATAATCAGATTCCGAATTTTTTGCACCTCGATTAGACATTGAAGGGGTGGGATATATTGACGTGTCCGTCCAACCCGTAGCGTGAATTACACTCCGGATGAGCTCGTGTCCATCTTCGAGGAAGGCAACGTCGCCCGTAGCTTCCCAAATACCACGCAACCCGGATAGGATGACGCCTTGGTTGTAGGTATATAACATTTCATTACGCTCGTCGCATTCGGTTTTGGTATGATTTTCACTATACCCCCTGATATGGAATCCGTCGGTATAGAGACCTTGGTCGTTCTTCATTCCACTCTTTTTGAGCCACGTGTACCCATTGATCGCATTTCTCAAGTACACAGGGTCGTACTTGGAAAGAGAGGAAAGAGAATTCCGGTCGGTGCAACCAGATATGTCACCCTTAGCCAGGCTGCCGGGCTTCTTCCAGGCCGCCTTACTTCGCTTGCTATCCGTGACTCCAAGGTACGGAGAGCAATTGTCGTCGCCGGGGAAATGCAAATACATGGCGATGCTGGCCGAGATGAACAATTCGTTTGTGATGGCATTCTTGTACGGCTGCAACCTAGGATTCCACAGCATACCGCCGCCGCAAAGATGCCAGTCCCATCCCTCTTCTGCTAATTCGTAGAATATCCTGGCACGGTGCGCAAATACGGGGGCGAATTGCCGACCGTGCCACTCTGATCTCTCATGCGATTCCAGATTTGGCGATGGATAGTGACGCTCAGAGTGCTCTTCCGTGAAACGGATGCTATCCAACCAACCCAAAACGACCCATAGCATGTCATCGTATGCCTGTTGACGGATTGCAAAAGCCTGCTCTCCAAAGAAGAAAGCAACACTATGACCGAAGTATTTATTTATTTCATTCTCGACCCTCTGCGCTTCGACGTCTAACTTGCGGGCCTTATCAAAAGATCCGGGCATAGTATAGGCGACCGAGTTTGAAAGTGAGGACAGCACTGCCGACACATGGTTTGCCATGACAGCAGATGTCCAATCGATCGCATACGTCCACATTCCCAACCACAGAGAGAAGTACTCGGATTGCATAGTCTCGAGAGCATCGCGGAGATCTTCGAGCGCATTCGTCACGGCGGCAGAGGAGTGCGGAGGAGAAAAAGGCGCCGGCTCGGAACGAGAAGGGTTTTCAGGAGGATTAATAGCATGTTGTTTCTCAGGTTCATAGCCAGAGTTATATCCTGTATGGATGAAAAGTCAGCTGGTATATCAGAGATGTAGTGATAACGCTCTCACCACTCGATCCGTGATCGCTGTGTCGCGGTGTTGCATAGACTACACACAAGCCCGACAGCAGCAACGAGAACACCAACGCCCGCCAAAGAGATATTGCACAGTGAAACATAGTTGAACCACTCTCCACGAAGGAAAGTCGTCCATTCTATGAGATCACAAGTGAGCTTGCGGGGTCGGCGTCAGCCTCATGGGATGAAGCCAAGATCGCTTCTTGGAACGATGGATCGAAGGCACGCTAACCGGTTGAAATTAATCAACTCAACGCGCTGTAGTGTGCACTTGTTCGACATTCTTAAGAATACAGCTCCATTGCTTCTAACTCTTGAAAAATAAAAGAGAGGATGTATCGTGTGTATGTTGTTTATCCTAATGGAAAACACCGGGCTTAACCGCCGCACTCTGGGCGGTCCCGAGGTTGCCCCGATTTCAGTGTCTCGCGTGACTATCAACAGCATTCACCCAAAACGCATCCCGACCAGCCAAAAAGCAGATCAAATACAAAAAAAAGATGTTGATGAGGATGGGATTCGAACCCATGCGGAAACTCCACTGCGACCTGAACACAGCGCCTTAACCACTCGGCCACCTCACCGGGTTGTTTTATGATTTGTTTCGAGTAAAAATATTATTATACAGAATGACATCCGACCTTTGAAAAATTGCGTGTATGAAGAAGATTTAGGGTACGCGTTAGATAACCTAGCCGCCAGCAGCCCACGACAGTAGAATGCGCTTAGCGGAAGAAAACTCTGTTGGGCTGTCTGCGGGGGCGGCCAACCCCGGAAGATCGTTCCAACCACAAAGATGAATCATCCGCCCAAAGTGCTTATGTAGTAAGTTCACAAAATGAAATAAATGAATGTAACAAGAGTTTGAATCTATTTAGTATAACTGTATCTTGAAAAATTTACATTTGGCATTGCTTCTATCATTTTTCAGGGGCCAGATTCTGGGCCTTCGCCCCGCATCAATGCTCTGTGGTGCAAGGCGGGAAAACATCACTCAACAAACTGTAAACAATCCAGATCAATTCAAGTGGGAACAACAGGCATCGATAATTGAAGCTCTAAAATGCAGAATCTCTATATTCAATTGGGTTGTAGTCTCTTTAGAATTAATAGGCAGTTTTTAGTGGCCCTGGCCCTGACCGACCACTAGCCTTGAAAGCAATTCGGTGCCGCTAACGAACGATCAACCACTCCATCGATAGGTCGAGAGGCCGACATCCGTACGCAAATCAATTCTCCCTTTTAGTTAATATATTTGCTGAGGTTATCAGCGCAACTGCGGAACTCTACCCCGTCTTGTAGCAAACTCAGCCTCCAAAGCCCCCACCCCACGCCCTGTCGCGCCTGCGATCGATACCTATTCTACAACTTATCGCAATCACACATGACTCAACTCCATTTTCCCTACAACTTCATTTACCCCAATCAGGGGTTCATATAACAGCACTCCCTTGTCAAGTCACCTGAGAGTTTATTCATTCGAAGATGTCACACCATGCCGAGCCTATTTCGTGCACTTTACACCTACAACCCATCCACTCCTCCACACTCACTCAACATCGGCATTCAATGCTATCAATTTCTTGAGAATTGGCATTCTGACATCAGCCACATAGCAGCACCGAATACAACACATCAGTCAAGCTTCGTGTCGACGTTCGAGATCAAGGAAATAGATTTTCTAAGCTTTGCACACAAGCCGCATACGTCTGTCGTACAATACTATGCATCAGATCATCTCATACAACTAACGGCTTCAACAGATTTTACGACTTTATTCACCAACATCTATCAATGTTCTGCATACATCTTCAAGAAACCCCAATTCCCTTCGCGAAAACTCGATCCAACATTTCAAATGGCTACAGTCGTATCCACTCAAAATACTTCTCGTTTCTCGCCTTCTGATTTTCGATGCCGAATAGCCCTTGGCCGTTGTTGTGAAATTTCAACGGCGTCGGCGAGGCCTTGTGTTGTGCCCACCCAATGACTTGAATCTCATTCGTCGGCCTCTGTTCGCCCGTAGACCATCCTTCCTGGTCCCAGACCCAGCACCATCGGCAACGATATACAAGTTCGAAACTCGTGTCAGTGACCTTGTATGCAATTTGGGTGACTGATGCGTTGCCAGTGTATGGGTTTGGAGTCCCGAATCCACTGTTCAGAGTCAATGGCCATAGGTAGGTGTATGCTGGTTGTGTTTGGCATGGGGGCAGAAGAGGGGGGACTTACTTTCCGAATACAAACATCGTTTTGATTTGCTCGTCTGAAGGATATGCAAGAAGGAGAAGTGAATTGGCCATGCCTCCTCCGTGCGAAATGCCCGACCAGCCTTTACGACCAGGTTGCAGGGATCCTCTCTGTGAACGACAGTGTTACCAACTGTCTGCAGCGCAAAACTCTAGAAGAACGCACCAGATATCCAATATATTCATCATTTGTGCCGGTTGGTACAGGAGGCAATGCATAACCCCATTCGATTCCACCATCGGTTTCTGCTTCAGTAATGGATTGCCGCCTACAAATCGTCAATTTATTTGGTCTAAAATCGTCAATGCCTGGGTTTGCGAGCATCGTCACCTACCAGAACTCGAATCCGGTCGCGGGATGGGTAAACTTTTCTTGCGCTACAGCAATGGGTGCAACTGAACTCGTTAGTCCAATCATCCATATCGCGACAGATGAGAACTTTTGCAGCACGTACAGAATATTGACAGCAACGACGCTGTACTCAAGAGACTTCGACCCTTCATCTTGAAGTTCTAAAAATCAACAAAAAAAAACGAAAGCAAACCGGCAATCTGAGAAGACAACAATGAATCAACAAAACACAATTTTTTTTTCACCCAGCCCAAACGAATCCATTTATACAAAGAACCCAAATCCGCAAACTCAATACAACAACCCCCACCAACCACTTCAAAGAGTACCAAACACCAATCCACCAAACAGATCTCTCTCAAATACCCCCTAGTCATCAAATCATGAACATCAATCTAACGTCCCTATCAACCCTGGAATCCGCCGCACCAAGACCACCCCTCCACCCACCCCCAACCCCGCCATTGGCTAGCACGACCCTCACAAAACGACTCGAAGGAACACGCTCAATATACACTGATTATCGCGCCGGCGCGAAATTCTGCACGTGGATCGCCGTGCACCGGTGTCGTATGTCGGAGTTTTCGGATCTGGGTTCCTTGATGGAGAATTTGGGTGAGTAGCGGATTTATGCAGATTGAGGGGTGTGGATAGATTGGAGTCGCGAGGCGGTTTTGGGTTGCCGAGGCTGAGTGCGCCTTGGATGTTGTTGTTCCGTTGATAAATGGAGGGGACGGGGGTAGATATGCGGCTCGCATTCGCTAAAGGATGGATGCAGGTGGAGGGTAGACGAGGTTGTGAGTGCTTGTATATTCCATAGACTATTTTGGGATAGGGATGTGGCTACGAGCCTGGGTGTTTTTGGATGGAGCGTAGGATGGTAACTTCGAAATTCGATTGTGGGATGGAGACTAGGCAAGATAGAGGATGAATTTACGGTAAATCTACGCAAAAATATTAGTTTCACGTCATTTGGTGAAAGGAAGCACAATATTTCTCACTTCACAAAGCACATCTAAACATCAGAACACAGAACGAATTATTATTTCGACATTAAACACGATGAACAACAGATAAGATCCCTTCAAATTTCATTGTCTCAATCAATTTTCTTCCCTTCGATCTTGCTCCCCCTTTCCCATCAATAACGCACAACCATCAAATACAAAACCTTACAAAGTCTCACGAAGTCTCAGTCTCTCCCATCCCCCCTCGTCCTAATCCCACACTATCCCATTCAAGATTCAAAACACGCCAAACCACCTGGCATGTCTCCTCTCCAAAAACCGACTCAGTTCCCTCGCTCTCTCCCTCAACGCCGCACTCTTCTTCTTCGCAATAACCGGAACGTGCGTCTTGGGCAGATTATTCAAATCGCGAAACTGGCGTAACAAATAGTTCTGGTGATACTTGCTACAGGGTCCCCGCACACTCTTCTCGAGACACTTTTTCGCCTTGTAGCGCCACTGCAAGCAGATTTTGTTCTGGAGGCTGTTCTTGTCTTTGATGACGGCGCAGGGGTTCTGGTCGAGGATTGTAATGAGGAGGGATCGCGTGGCCGCGACGGTGCAGTTGTTGGCTGTGTCGATGCAGATGGCGACGGTGTTTTGGACGGATTTGCATGTTTTAGTGGTGGCGGCGGTGGAGGGGCAGAAGTCGAGGAGGCGGATGGACTCAACGAGTTTAGTAGAGGGAACCCCGGCGGTATCGAGGATAGTGTTGACTTTGACGGTGACGGTAGTGGTTGTGTTCACGAGGCCACCAACGACAGTGCCTGTGATGTTGACGAGACCCCCAACGACAGTGCCGGTTGTATTCACCAGCCCTCCTACAACGCCGCCGACGTTGGTACCAGTTGTGTTGACAAGACCGCCGACGACGCCACCAGCGATGTTTCCGACGTTTCCAAGAAGACCTCTGGCGCTGATGTGGGTTTGAGCCACCGATTTAGATTTAATAGTTGCGTTGATTGAAGTCGAGGAGTTGGCATGAGCACACGCTGCAAGGGCGAGAGCCAGCCCGGCAATAGAGATAATTTTCATTATGGAAGATGGCAGTGGTAAACAATAGACCGTAGAACCTCTTGAGGCTGGTTAGATCTCATGAGACTGGGAGTAGAGCATTAGCAGGACGGCTATGTTTTCTGGACGTGTTATTCATATCTCCTTGTGATAGATGTGTGTACATAGAAGGAAAATGACCTGAAGCTGCATCTCACCCAAATGCAGACTGTCAATGAATGTAACAAACGTCGCTCAACATCCGATTGAAAACGACAACTGAAATATCGATCAACCAATTGATGCATCGGCCTTTCAGACTGATTAATTGGTTCAGGGTCCAATCGACTCAATTCAGCAAAGCAGACGATGAATTCAGACATGTAACAAGCATTAGCTGCTGTTCAACAATTTTGTTCGATATCCACCGTGACCCACACATGATTTCTTCATTCTGCCACTCTGACCTCCACCAACGGACCGTCCCTCCCGAATCCAAATGCATCAATAAGTTGAAACTCATCCCGTCTATGTCTCCCCTCTTCCAAATCAGGACTCCCGCCACCCAATCCATTATCTTCAGGAGAAAGTCGTAAATCGAAGCGGAAAATTATATGAGCAAGCGTGAGTTTCATTTGAAGATACGCAAGCACTCTCCCTGAGCACTGTCGTGTGCCCATCATAAACGGTGCAAACGCCTTCCTCGCACGTGCAATAGATTCTGGATCGGTCTCGGACTCCAGCCAGCGCTCAGGACGAAAGGACCAAGGATCAGAGTAATACTCGGGGTTGTGGTGGAGAGGATACATGGGAATGCCGACCACGGTTCCTTGCGGGAGATGGTGGCCGTCGACGGTGAATCCACCAGCCATGACAACCCGTGGAACGAGACTCGGAACTGCGGCAGCCCTGCGAAGGGTTTCTTCAATGCATGCATATAGATATTCGCAGGAGTTGAGTTTTGGACCATTTCGGATCTCATC